CAGTTTTGATTCCCATTTCGCCAACACCATAAGGGCATATATATCACTGGGGCATTACTTGCAACATGATTAATGTATGGTATCATGAATTTTGTATTCAGCCGTGTTGATGTTCACCTACAGCACAGTATATTCTTACTTGCTTTTCCCATCTCTAGTGGCCATGTTATTTGAAAAACACTTTTAGCTTAAAGAAGGCTGTAAGATTCCAGCGGAACAGCATCATATAGATGCAAAGCTGTACATCCCAACGAGTGATGTTAAGGGATGGAGATCCTCTCTTAAGAGGGCAGGGACACAGCAGCTTTTGGGATAGGAAGTGACAAGAAAGGGCTGAAAACAAACAAGGTTTTATCTGACACACATCGGAAACCCCCAAGAAAGAGGGCAGTACTATCCAGCACACTAACTTTAGTTAACCAGCTTCATCCAAGCTCAACATAAGCACTATCAGTTCAAGTACCAAAATATTTAGTCTGTATAAAAGCAGAGTACCAGCACCTCGCTTACAAGAAATGCCGCAGTTAAATATGATAAAAGCAAAAGGACAAAACAAAGGACAACAAAGTGGTAAGGATTCAGATTTACACAGCTCTTTGAATTGTTTTTCAAGCACTTTGTGTGGCAAGTGAGAACTAAGCAGTTCCCTGTAGGCACACTTGGGGTTTGCAAAGAGAACATACCACTTCCACTCACTTCTTTGTAACACACAAGTCAGAAAGAATTAAAATTGTGGTAAAATTGTGGCTGGTGTGATGCAGAGCACAAGCTGTGATACACCCCACTGCCATCCTGTACCTACTTCACTCAGCTGCTTTACTGGCCTCTCTCAACCATTTCTCCAGACATCTGCCTTCCCAACCTTCAATCAAGTCCCCTTCTGCTCTCAGGCCAGACCCTTCCCTATGCATTTGTCTGTCCCCTGGGTTGGACTAGATGATCTCCAGAGGTCCCTCCCAACCCCATATCATTCTGTGATCCCAGTCCCTCCCCAGGAGGGCAGGAGCCCCCCATGGAGCTCCCCAGAGTTATGGGGCAACACCTCAAACAAAAGATGTGCAAGCAGGAGATGGACAAGGAAGCCACAGACTTCGCACCCGAGAAATGGTAGTGAAAGCAGTGTGAATGGTTCAGTTTTGGGGTCCTTGGCTGTGGGTGCTATTTTGTTTCCCCCTTCCCCAGAGGAAGCCCATTTTCAGCCTGACTTTGGAGTGTTACACCTACAACACAGCAACTGTACTATGGAGACAGGACTCATTACTCAAACCATGCGACCAAGGCAGTACATCCCTGAATTCTATGCAAGAGTTACTCTGTAAAATACTCTTATTTAGAAAATATAAACAAGTCATTCTGTTCCAGCATGCAATTTGTTTTTCTGCTCTGGATACACCTGTGACAAATAAACAATACTGTCACATGTCACCTGTACCCCCTCTATTAACTAGTCCTGAACAGGAGGAAAAAAAAATAGTCTTCAAGACAGTTACACTGCTGTACAGGATGCTCACCAGAAAACAACAGATGTGCTATAATCACTACTGCCCATTCATTTCCTTTTTGTCAAAAAGAAAGCAGCAGTCATCAATTAAGAACCCCTATCTACTGGACACAAAAGGAAGTATACACTTTTCCTTGGTCATTTGACCATAACAATAGGAGATGGCAGCGGGAAAGGAGGGACGACTCTGAGCAAGCGTGGGGGGAAGACAGGGGGGAGTGAGCTTGTCTTTTTGGATTATTTTTTTTTGACAAAGGTAAGAATTTTTATTCAACATCTTAACATAAAATGTTTAAAAAATAAATCACTTCGTCTACAGATTATACAAAATTCTAATTATATGATTCCTGAATTTGTCCAGACAATTCATTTAATCTTTTTCACAACACAAAATCCCAAACACGTGAACTGTCAACAGAATTAAACAGCATCTGGAAAAGACGTTTTACCAATTAAAGCCTTTTTTAAAATAGTTACCACAATTTTTATAAAAGGGTTAGTCTAAATGTACTAAGTCTTTAGGCTTTCAATGTGTTACTGGCATAAATTATTTGGATTAAGCTTTGCCAGATCTGTGGATCCTCCTGTTTAAGACTACATTCACTGATCAGCTTAATCACTGAAGTAGAATGACAGATTTCATAAAATTGCTAACAGAAAACCCTGGAGATGCACTTTGTAGTCAGACTGAAACAGACAATATAATCAGCCACCAGGGTTTGGGGAAAACTAATTACAAATTGCTAGTCTTAATTAAGGTATTAGGCCCTAACCTAGCATGCTGAATTAAACCCCAAATATTCCGATGGATACTACTGCAACTGCTCTAACAACCTGACAGGAGCTTCCAGCAATAAGAAAGCGTTTACAGGCCTCCACATGGCTACTGAACCCCAGCTTCTGCCCTGTACCCCTGCCCCATCGCATACCAAAAATAGAACCGACTTACAGAAAAGCTCACACGTGGGCACGCATCATTCCTCTCCACCCCCACACAGATTTGCAGGCCCTCAGACCATTAAAGACACGGCCTAAACAAAGCACTCAGTGATGCAGAGATGCTCGAGGAATTTTTTTAATGTAGTGACTCTTAGCATAAACACACCGCGTAGCAAAACTCATCCTAAATTGTTAGAACCAAGTATATTGATCTGATGTTTCCCTCCCTGCTACAACAGATGTCAAGATTTTAAAAGCTGCTGGAGCCAATGTTCATTCTTTCCAAAGATTAGCATATTCTAAACACCAACTTACTGACATAATTATAAACACACAATGCTGTTATAAAAGTCAAATGGATAATAGCAAAATAGAAACAAATTTAATAAAATGTCTCCCCTCTCCACCCTCAAATTTTTTTCAGAATGAAAATTTTCTTAAAACCCAGATTTAAGTCTAGCACATGAAGCAAATTTGGCAAAATTACTGGTGGTGGTTCGGTACAGAGTTAATATCCATCCCTCAAAGCTGTATCTGCCCAAACCATTAAGCTATTCTTTTTACAGAACACCACTCCTCATATTTTTGGTTTCCTCTTTTTTTCCCATGAAATGAATTCTTTACTAAATGTACTTCATCTAGTCCTTGAATGCCTTATCCTGTTACTTGATACATTCCCACACACTCCAGGTTTTGTTGATACAACAATTTTCTGAAGCATTTCACAGCGAATGCTTGCCTGCCAGGGATCCCAGAGAATCTTAGGAAATCCTCTGCCTCTTAGGACACAGGCACAAGCCACATTATCTCAGCTTTCAAAAAATTCGAGTCTGACTGTCTGGTTTAGCTTTTCTGTTCATCATGAAAAACACATTAAAATCACAGCAACTCAAACCCAAGGCCAAGCAGCACATCTGAAATCTAATGGAAATCAGGAAGTGAAGGGGGGTGGCGGAACTTGTGCAAGTGATTAACTTTCTAAGGTCACTAGGCAAATATTTCACATGCATTTGAATATGCACAGATTTCAACGTAAATAAATAAAATTATTTGCTGTGTAGACCCTGGGAACATACAGCCCCTCCGCATTTATGGACAAAATAAATATGTCAGTAATTAACTGTCTGCAAATAACAGAGGCAACTAGTGTACTGAATTTAGGTCAAGCCAATTATTTTTCTCTAATGTATGTTAAAACATGCAACCTTATTCAAATCTTGCTATTTTTAGAAAATACTGAAGAGGAATTTCTGGTCTTTCCTCTCTCAGCCTCTACAAAATGTTTTCCTACTTACAGAGACTGTTCTCCCTTGGATCCAAAGGAAAGTAAGACCTCACTAATGTCTGTCAGATGTAAGCCTCAGTTGAACGCTACGCAATCCTGCTAGTGTCCACCTATTAAAGCTACACAATCTCAAAGCACTGGATCTGTTGCCATTCTCCTAAAATTTTATAAAGGTTTAAACGCAATTGGATCATCAATACATACTACAAAATTACATTACAAGTCTCATTATCAGCAGGGAAAAATAATAAATATTATTAATTAGTGGTCTAATACAGCATATTAATATTCCTTCTGCAGGTCACAGAAGCCAGAGTGGCAATTAACACAACGTACTCTTTTTCTTTTTAATTTAAAACTAATCCACGCTACACTGGTTTCAGCATTAGCACTGGAAGGAGTGAAATAGGTTATTTATAAGTCATCAAGTTTTTCCAAATACCAGTGTCTGTGCTGTTACCCACAAAGCTCTTCACTGAATGCTTGCTTTCTTCAGAGAGAAGAAAAGACTCCTTTGGGTTGGCACCAGGACTGAGGAGGAAAAGAAGGAGAAAGGGACCTTGCCTAAAGCCGTCTTCTCATTTAGTATTTTCTGCAGAGTCTCATTTATTATTTTCTGCAGAGTCTCCTGCCAACCCTATCATGAAGATTTCTGGAATGTCAATTTGTTTCAGATAATCAAATGAGTGAAATCAATTATTACAATCAAGTTACATCTCCACAGCATCTAAATCTGCTTTTCCTGTGTTCTTGGGTTCCCCAGGTCCCCCAAGACTTTCAGTAGTAGTAAGAATATATAAACAATTAAACCCCTAAAAAATAAACCATGAAAGATCAATTTCTTCTCAAAATGGCATATAGTAACATAGGAAATCTCAAGAGAAGACAAAAGTTCCAGATGTCCCCAGCCCCACGGAGAGACCACAGTTTCTCCATAAAGTGGCACTTTTCCCTCCAAAAGGAGGGAATCAAGCAACCAAACAAAACTTCAGCTACAAATCTTTAGCAAAGAAATAGGTGCTAAAACTGAAGCATGCTTAGGTATCCCAAAATTTTAATTTAATTAGCATAAAATGCCACCGTCTTGGCTAACCAAGATTTCAGGCCTATGTAGTACAGTGTCCTATTGGGGATTTGCATACTAAGCAGTCTCATGGTTAACCTGAGGCATGTTCGCTGAACGCCAATGGTAATCATCTCAGCCAGAGGCACAAAAAACATCATCTCTCATATAAAAAAATCATTTAAAGTTAAATTATAATAAAAAAAAATTACCTGGTAGAGCACTTGCCAAATATATCACTGTTGGATTAGGAAAAATGGAGTCACTCTTCCTCTCCTCTGTTGAATCTCTGGCATTCTGCAGAAAGGAAGGCAGGAATTATGGAATTAGAGAAAGGATAAAAGGGAACACAACTCTGCAGCTCAGCAGGGGCCCCAGTTTATGCCCCCTAAACCACACTCACTGTACCACCCGCCCATTCCGCCTTAGAGAGTACCTGAATAAAACATAGCATGGGCTGAACCCAGTTCAAACAGGCTAAAGGGTCAGATTTTGAATAGGAATTAGACACTAATGTGATTCCAAAAATCCCATTAAGAGTCTTACCACCTCTGCAAGCACCTACCTACATATCTTTCAAAATCTAGATCAGGCAGTTTGTCTCTGGTTGCGGTGTAAGTCTGCGGCAGAGCAGGGCTCCCAAACTCTAAAAAGCTTCAGGCCATGCTCCTTCTAGAAATTATTAGTCTTGATTTTAAACTTAATTATCTTTAATGGCTGGAAACCTCTATCCAAATGAACCCTCGCTTTCCTGATGAGCAACAAGACACATCTCTAGCTGTTAAAGCTAGAGCCATGGGTCACTTCTGAGATCTGTCTGGTACCTGCATCTAATCCAGGTATTCTCTTGAGGTCAACAAAGAATTACAAATATCTAAATGAAAATATTCTTTCTTCTGCCACTTCACAAAAAGCAGGTATTTAGATATGGTTGTGGTGCAGCTCTTTCTAGCAAAACTTATTAACCTATTTTGAAGTCTAAAAAATCCAAGATTCTTGATTTATGGAGGGAAAGAACTCATTTCCTTTGCTAAGTCTGTAACCCTTTCCAGCTTCAGAACATCAACTGGAACATCAACTAGGAACCGAACAAGGATACCTTTTCTATTATTTTCATTTCTCTAAGCCATTGCTTTACATTTCCCTGTTCTAGAGGACCCCAAGATTGATTTACCTCTCCTTCTTTACTACATCTGTGCTATGGACTCAGCCAAAGGTGACAGTGAAGAATCCACAGAAACCGAACATCAAATGTTCTTGCTCTAAGCTTTCAAGAAGCTATTCAATGTAAGACTGGATATTTTTTTCTTTTTTTCATATCGCCATAAGGCCTGTTTATATACTTGGAGTGGAAACAGTGCACATTCAGCTGCAATTGATTTCCTGTATGGCAAAATACCTCAGGCATTCAGCTGGCTGGGAACACTGCGGAGGCCTCTTACCATCACCAGGTTTTTGAGACCAGGAAGCTCTGCCCCATGCTTGTTCTTATGCCAGAATAAATAGAGTCCCTGCTCAGCATCCAAGTAAATTTGGTCTAGGAGAACCAAACCATAAACAGGCAAGATTTTGTATTTCAAAAATCCATTTAAAAAATACTGGTCTACTTTCAACTGCAACAGTAAAACAATCAATTCAATCTTACTAATGTGGCATAATGTTCACCTACAGATGTTTTTTACATAGAAAACCACCACTCCAGCTGAGAGATATTTTTTTTTAAATGAAATATCAATGTTTTCCCTCATCCAGTTGCTATATTTACAGCTATATTTCAATAAAATAAAGCAATTTCACAGTAAAATAATATATTTTTTTCCATTTTGGTGTCACTGAGTGACAATTCTAATCAGTTTATTTACTGCATTTAGGTTTTTTCCATTCATAACTGAATACACAGACTAGCCTCCATTAACATTTTTATGAATATGAAGAAGGGAATACGTGCGCTGTCTTACCAGGTTCCTGTGATTAGACTGGAACAGTTGTAACATTCAAATGCACAACCACCTGACTGTAGCTCAGATTGTAAATTAAGCGAAACGAAAATACAAAGTGAGCTGTAATTACCATCCTACTTTCCATTTAGTCCGTGCAAGTTTCCTTAGTCTCCTTTCCTTAGAGGCAAAGGACTCCATTTCAACTGCTAGAGAAAGTAATTTCTTTAAGAATCCTAGAAAGAGCCAGACTGGCAACACAACCACAACCATTTAAATATACACACATACATGTGTACATATGTGTGTATATATACATACACACACATATAAATAAATTAAAATCAGGAAACCAGACAATCTTGAAGAAGCCTAAACTTTTTATGAAGGCATTCCTGTTTGATAGAAGCTTCACTAAGAAGAGCTTCTTAGTTAATGAGTAAGATTATTGGCCTAAAGCTGAGAGATCTTCTCTAACTCCCAGAGCATCCAACAGCCTTTCAAAGCCTCTGGACTGATGATTTCTCAACCCTCAATGTAAGAATATTGCATGATTTTGCACTAGAAAGACTACCACAAAGAAAACATGAGCATGCCTGCCTAGAGAAATTGATACTGTTGTTTGTCCTACAATTTCTATTTCACCTTTGAAAAAATACATTATTTAAAATAGCCTTAGTTATTCTAGAAACATATGGCAATTATTAATAAAAATCTTTGCATTCTTAATCACTTTTAGAATATATGTAGGATTAAAGCATCAAGCAAGTAGTTTAAGAAGCAAAAACCTCAAAGAAACGTACATTCAGATATTTAAGTTTACTTGAACCACAATGATTGGCTGTCTATAAAAAAAATGTTCTGGCACGTGGAAATTTCACTATAACATTGAATGAAAAGTCCAAAATCGTGAAAACTATCTTTCAAAACTCAGTAAAACCAATGTTCTCTTTCTGGGTATACTCTGCATGGGAAGCAACCAAAATAATTTTCAGTAACAGGATGGGTGGTTTATGTTATTCTCTTTGGAGTCTTAGATCATCTTCACCTCAGTTTTCCTAAAAAGTGTGACACACAACCTTTCCATGCTACACACTAACAGTCCTGACCAAGATGCTCAGTGACAGGCTAACATTATCACTTTACACCAATAAACTGGTTCCCTCAAACCATTGCTTCAGGTCTTGAAATCTATGCTTTTTAAAAACGTCCCTACCCTGTTTCTGCTAGGGGAAAAGACCAAAATAATCCAAAACCTCCCAACTGTGTATAATTGTGTTCCACAAACTTACAAGTGGGGATCTGCTTAAATTACAAGTAGAGTATCAAGACATTGTTCCATCCATTGTCATCTCTGCTCTTAGCTGGTCCCTGACCTTACTAAATCATATCTCACATCCAGACAACTCCATCCTTACAACTTGGATCATATTGTGCATTTGACATAATAAGATGGTGTCAACATATACTGTAGTATTCTAAAACAAATACTCTTGCCAAACAATTGCACATACTGATCCTCTAAAAAAAGCTGAAAATAAAATCATTAGCATAATATCACGTGTTAATCAGCAAACCACTGTGCAGGTTTAATCACCAGTGACAAAGACTACAGTAAGAATTTATTTGACATTATTCTTACCGAGTTAAGTGCCAGTACATAAAGCCCAAGTTTTCTGGCCAAGGAAAGCAGCTCGCCTATTATAGCATCAAGGGAAGGCCACATACTGTAGCACCATCTCATTGCATGATGTAACTGTGATGGACAGAAGATGTGCTGCATCTCAAGGATATGGATTTATTCCACATGCAATCAGCTGAGTGCTTTCCCAGATGTATTAAGCTAATTTCATGGGCTAAGTACTTGCAGCGCTCCTAGAGTTTCCTTCACTCTACCCATTCACAACAGCAAACAGCACAAAGGCTGACTTGCATGAGAAGGTCAACAGCTAAGAATGAATCTTTGCCAGACCATCCCTGGTATGACCTCAAGTTGTCCCCAGGAAAGAAGTCAGTGCTAGGCAAGTATGGGCATAGCCGAGTAACTCTGACCCAGGTACCAGAACTAATCACTTGATGATATGACTCAACGTTTATAATTAACAAATAAGAGAAAACAGCCCTGTACATTTTTGTGAAATTGTCAGAATTGTCCCTGTTCAAAACAAAAAGGCCTCTTCATGCAGCACAGGCATTGATTTAAAGAAGAGCGAAAGGAAAAAAAAGAACCATATAGTGGGCAGACTCCTCATCACTACAACACAGTGGCAACGAAGAGGCATTCAGATGGCCCTGACACCCAGATTCCTCTGGATATTTGAATAGGTGCATGATGCACACAGCCAGGGTGAGCAGATGAATCTGTCAGGTAAGTTTGGAAGCACTGTCCCCTAGAGATGAAAGAGGCCAGAAATGAAAAGATCTTCAGTAACAAAGGCTAATAACCAGCTTTTATTCTGAAAATGGCAAACCAGATAGTTGTGGTTTTGTTTTTCCAGAATCCTTCCTTGAAAAGCAAACACAGCTTCTATCCTACCCAAACAGCATGCAGTGGTGCGTGGAAAACGTCCCTTTTCCTCCATACCCGATCTGTGCATATCATAGGTCCCACCACATTAAAGCTTCACCAGTGAAGGACAGAAGAAAAATGCCTATTCTGCTTCGCTTTGACCTTGTGGGAATTTGAGTCAGTGTCTATGCTGTGCTTTGGATGAACAAATTGCTTTGGAGGGGCCTGAGGGGTGGAAGAGCCAAATCCGTTGAGTGCGCTTGACAACAGGGGTGGTTTATTGGCAGGACCGTCTGCTGCAGAATTGCAGGAAGCACCTTTTCAATGTCACTTCTTTTGGATCTGCACTGTGCACGGGAGCGGCAGGATGGCTCAGATTTGAGACTGAAGAACTCAAGGGACGTTGTCAGCATGTACAGCCATGATCAAGGAAGCACATCTGTGTTGGTAACAGGCCAGGCTACCAGAAGAGGGTGACACTGCAAATCATAGTATTGTCTAGGTTGGAAGGGACTTTTAACACCATCTAGTCCAACCATCAATCCTAACTCTGACAAAAAAATCCATCACTAAACCATGTCACTAAGCACTACATCAACTTGTCCTTTGAATACCTCCAGGGATGGTGCCTCAACTACTTTCCTGGGCAGCCCATTCCAATGCTCAATAACCATTTATTAGGAAAAAAAAAATTTTCCTAATATCCAGTCTGAACCTCCCCTGGCGCAACTTCAGGCCATTTCCTCTTGTCCTATCGCCTGTGACTCGGGAGAAGAGACTGAAATCTGGGAAAAACTCACAAGGTTAAATGAGTTCAAGCTTGGGAGAAGGAGATACTGAAGACAATACCC